ACAGCAGGCCGAGCATCGATTGCAATGAAACTGCTGTGCAGCTGCAACGGGAAACTGGGAAGCAACAGTGAAGCTTCCTGCAAATAGGCTTTGATTCCAGGATTGCTGCTGGTCTCCTGCTGGGAATAAGGATGGTCACTGCTCGTCTGGAAGCAACGTCCCTTGTTCCTACCACCCCCCCCCCCTTTAGGATTCAGCCCACTTTCATGCAGCACCCATTTTTCTTCACCATCTCTCTCCTTGTTTCTGCACACTGAAATGACCTGTTCCAGTGGAATTCAATTTCTGGGTTTCTCCTGACATCCACCTCTCACTTCCATGTACCTTTCTATCAGCATTTACACCTTTGCACATCTTGAAATTTCTCAACCCATTTCTCCATCTTTAATAAAGGTTTTACCATTTACCTTTTTCTCCTGTTAAACACAAATGGCTTAGTCCTCGAGACATTCATTTTTGGCTCTTTGTGGTGTTGTGCAGCCTCATCTGCGGCAAATCCTCTGGGTTCTCAGCAGCCTCACGGCATTGTCAGCAGATAAAAGTAATGCACCTTCATGTCCTCTAATGTCACAAGCATTTGTTGTGCATTTAGGCACAAATGCACGTCCCTGTCTTACTCCCTGCTCCATGTTGCATTTGCTAAGCATTCATCCCCATACATCATGTGGCATATGGCTCTTACTGCATTCAGCAACCAATTTTCAACTCCATATTTGTGCAAAACATTGCATCGTTCAAGCCTATTCACTTTATTATGTTTTTCCTAACGCAATAAAAGTACAAGAAACTCTTCCATTTTCATCCTTTTCTCAGCGACTGGCAGGAGAGAGAGAGAGAGAGAGAATCTGGTCTGCCCTTTTCCTGCCGGGCATAAAGCTACAGGATGCCAGTTCCTGGCTGCCAACTCAAGCTATCCGCATCGAAAGCTCAATGGCCCTGCACTCCGGGTTTCGCTGCCCGGCACCCCCTAGGAACGCTGGCTGCCCCCGGGAAGATTCAGCCCCGCTGCCGGCAGGGGCCCCGGCGAGGGTCTCCGGCGCCCAACGGCGAGGCCCGCGGGCTGCCGCGATCCCGGGCGAG